GGAAAGTTTAAAATGCAATATGATTTCTGTAGATAATTGTAATAGCTGAATTAACAGCTTTGATATATCTGCTCCAATGTGATATACCTGCTTATTTATTTCAATATATTTTTTTGCAAATCCCAGTGACAACAAAAACGTCTAATTATCATATCATCACTGATAGTTACATATATAAGATTTAATCTTACAATAATAGACTTGTTTCCACAAGACAGAACAAATCCAATATTTACCAAGTATACTGTTATTATTTATAACTTCCCTAACCTTTTCCTATCGTACCTACCGTATTTTCCGGCGTATAAGACGACTTTCTAAACCCTGAAAATCTTCTCAAAAGTCCGGGGTCGTCTTATACACTGGGTAGCTGTTCTCTGAATTTAAAACCAATCTGCCCCCTAGTGGCCAGCCCTATTTTTTTTTTACAGAAATAAGCACTAACACAGTGTTTCTCAGCCTTGACAATTTTAAGGCATGTGGACTTCAACTCCCAGAATTCCACAGCCAACAGGACAAATCATTCAAAAATCCCATTTTTCTACATCGCCTATCACTTTATTCTTTTTCAGGAAAAGAATTTATATAGTAAATAGTATATAAATTAAGGACATTACATCTACAAAAAAAAGAAACATTTGATTTACTTCTTATACCTATAGCAGCAGTCATGAATATATGGAAAAACTTTTTGATTCAGCAAATCAATTGATTAAGAAAGATACTGGTCAAAGGAAAAAGATAAAAGTGAAAATTAAGAAAATAGATGATGGGATCTACCAGAGAGAATATTTAAAAAAGAAACATTTGTTTGAATATGGTTAAAGAAACAGAAAAGATTCTGAATACATATGTCATTCTAAGAGAGATGGATTCCTTAAATAATACTGTATACTTCCCCCCCTCTTATTTTATTTATTGATATAAGTAATATAATACTGCTGAAATGGCCTAGATGAAGGAAATGTTTTAGATAATTAAATGTGTCTGAATTTAGGGAAATTATAATATATAAAAAAGAAAAAAAATGTTTTGAATAAGACCTAAAGGATTAGATGACTAGGCACATTAAATGGAATATTTAAAGATTAAATATATATTTATCAAAATAATAAGAACTATATTATTTCAAGGTTTGCAAAGAAGACATTTTTGGGAAAAGGGGAAATCAACTAAATGTACTATGTGGATTATAGATTATAGAAACCAATTGTTAATGATTTTTCTTTACAAATATAAACCCAGCAAACACACTGTTTACCAACTATTAAGTGATTTATGTTTTAAAAAATCAATAAAATATATGGAGAAAAAAATACCAGCTGAGTTCAGGAAGCATTAGGGAAGCAGTGGTGGGCAACACTCGCTTTCTAGCAGCAAAGGAATGGAGCTCCTATTGTGCTCATCTATAAACAGAAATTCAATATTGTACCATATTTTCCGGCATATAAGGAGACTTTCTAAACCCTGAAAATCTTCTCAAAAGTGGGGGTCGTCTTATATGCCCAGTTGTCTTATATGCTGGAATATACGGTAATATAAATGTACTTCAGTTCTAATTACATAATTGATTCTTTTCATGCCATGGGAAAGTTTGCTGATGATATACTTATTTTATAGTTAAAAACTAAGAATGTTTATACATAATTATAAAACTGATCTGGATCCTTGATTCAGTGATATGAATATCTTCCTATTGATTGATGATACGGCATTGGTTTTCAGTAGTGGAAAAAAGGAGATTATTTTTCCACATTTTCTTTTTTTTTTTTTTAGAAAATACATCCTTCTGGAAGAGGCATTCTATTTTATGCCATCACTTAAAATGATGCTTCCTGAAATATATGAAAGGGATATATTTTTTCTTTAGAGCAATTATATTAATGTAGGGTTGGGTTTTTTTTTTTTGCAGTTTGGTATATTGTAACTTGATTAGTGAGCAGTTCAATGAAATACATATATTGTATATTTACTTAAAATTAAGTAATCAGTGGAATTTATTTCTAGGTGATTGTCTTAAATTGTAACTTCAGTAAGGCCTGGGAGAACCCTAATTTTAATTTAATCTAAAAGCTTTTTTAATTGAGAACCAGTGGACATTTATCTCCAAATGCTATCATCTGAATAAACAGATTATGCTCCCAGCTATTTTAGCTTATCGGTAGTTGAGGAATAAAAGAGAAATATTTAGGTCTGGAAAAAGTGTTATTTTCCTAAGGCTATAAAAACAGATCTAATTCAGCTCTGAATGGAATCTAGAATCAGACATGCATTAGGCAGTACCAAACTGGATCAGAATGGGCAATTTTGCTTTTATTATTTCAAATCTATAGAGCCTCAGGAATGAAAATTCTGAAAATTCTGTGCCAGGAAGGAAATTCTGGCTAGCAGGCAGAATATTTGGAGTGTAGTAATACAAATACTTCTACAAAATTAGGAAAGGCAATTAGAAAGTTTGAGTAAATTATTTGGTCATAAATACTACCTCTGATTGCAATTCAGTGTGCACTTAATCATGATGAATTTAGTAGGATTTGGTTTCAAATGCACATATTTAAATAAATACTCCAATAATCTGCTCTGAAGAAAATTGAGAAGTTTCCGTGTTTTATTATCTGTACTTTTCAAAGAGCTTTGAAGACCTGTCCTATATATACAGACAGTAAGGAAGGCTCTCAGAAGCAGAAATATCTCAGCAGAAATACTTTCTTTTATAGTTTTTTATGGTTTTTCATGGAGTATGGGTGATATTTCTTGACTTTTTTATTTTAGTTTTCAGAAGAAGAAAATTCACTTATTCACTTCACTCTCTGAAGGCCAGGATTCATTTATAGCAGTGTTTCCCAAACTTGACAATTTTAAGGCATGTGGACTTCAACTCCCAGAATTCCACAGCCAGCGTTGCTGGCTGTGGAATTCTGGGAGTTGAAGTCCTCATGCCTTAAAATTGTCAAGTTTGGGAAACACTGATTTATAGAATTGAGCACCTTTCCTTCACAATTCTGTTGTCCACTAGCAAAGGTACTGCTATGGATGCAATGAATGTCTTCTATTTTTTTTTCATCTTAGAATAAAAAACTGTTAGGGTGTGATATATTATATATTATGTTGCGTTGTGTTTTATGTTATATCTTTTATGCTATGTGTTTCGTATTATGTTAAGTTGTGTTATATGTTATTATAATAATTTATGGTAGAAGATTACAAAGTTTAGTAGAAATGACCAAGTGAATTTGGAATACTTTTCCAAATTCTGGTGATGATGGTAATGATGGACTGGTGATGATGAAGATGATGATGATGCCACATGTATTGTTATCAATGAAATGATATAAGTTGCATAATTTGTGTCCTTTGTACAATTACATAAAGTAGGCAAGAACATTCCCCCCTTAGATGCCCATGTGTTTTTTGTATTGTTCATATTAACCTGCTTCATATGTCTGACATTTCTGCCTCATTATTTCTCTGTTTCCTCTCTACAGACAGGTGACATGGCAGGAGATCCTTTTGGCTTTTGATCCTCCTCCCATCTGAAATCACTCATGGAAGTGTTTGGATTACTGCATATCTTTTTTTCCCGCTTGCATCCTTTCCTGTCAGAAAAACTGCCTGAAAGTTATATAAGACTGGATTTCCAAGAGTAGATTCATTATTCTTTTTAGAGCCAGATTATCAGAAGGTCAGCATTCCTATTGATCTCTTAGGAGAGGGTCTGAAAGATTTTAGGTAACTGTAATGTCAGCCTTTTCTCCAAAATGCTGAATTGTAGAACTCCACCACTCCAGCAGATGGGGAAAAGATCTTTGGGAAAGCAGGAATGTGCAAATAAACTAAAATGCTGAAAGTGAGCTCAGGAGATGGAATGCCCATAATGGAAGAAGGAAACAGGTCAGGTAATGCTCAGCCTTTCAATTACTTTAGAGATGTAAGGTGCTGAAGATTGCTCATTAACTAAGGTTGTAAAAAAGCACATTTGCTGTGTCATTATTCTTTTGAACATTCATCTGACAGGCTTCTAAAAGGTTTATCAGAACTTGTTCTGATTCATTGGAAAATATACTCCCTCTTTTGCACTGGAGCATTTCCTGCCTATCTCTAAGGTGAGAGTGAGTCAGATTTTTGCTTTTGTGTCTTGCTTCAGTCTGGCTTGAAAGTTTCTTCCAAATTATTAGCATGAAGGCTACTTGTGTACAGCTCTATTTAGCTGTTTTGCTCTTGCTTCTTCCATTGCAGTCTTTCTATATTTTTCTGGAAGCATGTCTGAAGTAGAAACCCAAATGCATTCAACTAAATACCAGAGTTCATTTTGATTTAACCACTCGAAATTTCTCCCATATGAACTTTTCGGTCAATGCGTTCTGTTGGAACTGGGATTTCAGCATCTTAGAGAAGACTTATGCTTTTCAGTGAGTTTCATTAGTTTGTATGATATCTTAAAAAAGATATTTATTTTACCTGAGTTGCATTGGAAATATTTTTAACCCTAAAAGGCAGTGAAGGAATATTTTAAATAGATAAATTTATCCTGTCCCCTCCCTCACCTTTTAATTATGATTTTATCTAAATTAGGACTTCTATATTTATTGTTTTAGATATATTTATATGTTATGATTTTAATGTTTTATGCTGTAAGCTGCCCAGAGTCGTTTCACTATGAGATGGACAGCAGATAAATTTAATAAATAAATAAATTCAATTATGCATTATGATTTTAATTAAGCAGGTGACCTGGTTTATAAAAACACCAGAAGACTTGAATAGTTCATTTTTCCATTGTTACTACTTCATGCCTCTTTGAAAGTTTTCAATTTGGTTTTGGAAAGTGCATCCACATCTGTTCCTTAATCCATCCTCTTATTTTATTTTATTTTATTTTATTTATTTATTTTTTATTTATAAATATATTTTGTTAATTTTTTACAATAACAATCTTTAATGCTTAGTGTGTTGTCTGGGTTCATATACTCAAAACAATAAATAACAATTAATTTCTCCAATTAATCAATATAATAATAGTAATAGTAATAATAATAATAATATTGGAAGGGACCTCTCCATGGAAATCTTTAGTAAAAGGCGAAAGATTTATACGATCTGAAGAGAAACCAGAGTATGTAATATATTTCTTGATCCTTTCTTCTTCCAATAATAATCTCTTGTCTACATTTCTAATCATCTTATGTTTCATTTATATTTATATATTTTTTAAAAACAATACTTTTTCAGGTATAAAGTTTTAGCAATTTTCTTAGTTTTCAAATTTATCCAAACTGTGGTATTTTGCATTTTTCCCATCTGAGTTTAATTTGTTGCTTCCATCTATGGAAGGGGGGGGGTATAGTCCCCTCCCTTCTCACTTTGGGAGGTTTTTTGCTTCTTGGGGATCTTTTCGAGGAAATTAGGTATAAAATAGGAGAGAGAAGATCAAATTCCTCACCCAGTTTCAGGCACACTGTTCACTGTTGTGCTGGTTAGTGCCTTTGGACTTTGGCTCCAAGTAGCTTGGGCTGGTCAGTGAAGTATGGCCAGCCTTTCTCCTGTCGGGCTAGGAGGCTTTCCCCGAATTGAATGGAATGACTGCCAGAATCTCCAGGGCACCCTTCTTTTCTTCGCCGCCTCTCCGGGGTGACTTAGACCCATTTAGGGTCCCCTGGCAGGGCGAAATTAGCATGGGATGTGGAGATCCTCAATCCCACAACCGGGCACTATCGTGCCAAACCATAAGTCTATCCTCTTATTTTAATCTAGATGCTCTCCATACTAAATTTATCATTTGTATTTCTGAGCAAGTATAGATACTTTTTAGCATTCACTGCAACTTTCCTTTCCCCTCCATTCCTATTTTTTTTTCTCCAGTTGCATACCAATTGTGGGAGTCTTCTCATCAAATCTTAACTACCATTGCCTTCTCATGACAGAGCTCAAGCTCATTTTGTTTGTTTCTTATACTCTAAGTTTTCCCCCTTCAATTGTTTCTAAAGATTTGCAATTTTTTTTAAAAAATTGGATGTTGTTGTTGCACCAACCAAAATTCAATATATTTAGCTATTCCTAACATAGAGAAGACCAGGTTGTGTGTTTATCTGCCAAGTAGCTATTTAATTATTTTAATCTACATCAATCCTGTCTCATGGATGAAGAAATCCGCAAAACTTAATACATTTGCTTACTTAAATATTTACATATTTTTTACCTATTTCTTGTCAGTGATATTGAACTACAGACTCTGTTTTTATAGTTTTCTATGTGACTAAACTTAGTACATTTGCTTACTTAAATATTTACTTATTTTTTACCCTATTTCTTGTCAGCGATGTTGAACTACAGACTCTGTTTTTACAGTTTTCTGTGTGATTAATTTTTTGTTTTTATTTTTAAATATTAAATTTACATGCTGGCCTTCTTGCTATCAATTTTCCAAGTGATAATGTTTGTGCTGTGTTGAAATTTGCATCAGGATATCTACAAAGCTTGAATCAGAGTGTTCTTGAGGTCATGCATGTCATTTAACCAAATGAATTTTCTGTATGGTGTTCCTCAATAGCAGCATATTTCAAAGTTGGCAATTTTAAGATGTGTAAACGTCAACTCCCAGAATTCCCAGCCAGCACTCTGGGAAATTCTGGGAGTTGAAGTCCATATATCTTAAAGTTGCCAAGTTTGAGAAATGCTGCTGTATAGCAAAGAAGAAACAACCTGATATGCAGATTCAGGTATAGATTTTCCACAAACCAAGAAACTAACCTGGTTTTTATTCTTAAATGTCTTGGCTTACCGTGTCCATTACAGATATACATTCAGTCTTTTATTCTCATGGGAAGCACAGTAAATTTTAATGGTTGTGTCTGAACATTAAGAAGCAAAGTAGTAGCTGTAGGGGTGGAAAAACATTCAGAATGTTACATTAGAAATGGTATAGTAATATTCTCAAGCTGTTCTTCAGGATTTACATTGAATTCAAGGATATAATTTTCCTGAACAATTCTTAAAGTGGTCTTATAATCTCATCATATTCCATCCCCAGGACAGTTCTTTAGGCTTTTCTCATCTTACTCATCCATTTTGAGACTTTCAGTCTTGTGAAAATAATACTCTCCCACTTTAATTATAGTGCTGGTTAAGAATGCATTCTGTTGTTTTCACCCTGTTACTAGTTCACACACTGCTTGTTTATAGCTTTCTGAAAATTCATTTTTAATAAGGTCAGATTTGCAATTTAAATTAATGTTAATATTTCTTGCAAACTCCAGAACAGTTTGTTTAGGGAATGGCATGTAGATTCTATTAGAAATTTATGGGGTTAAAAAAAACACCACACTTTATTTCTTTTGTTTTCCAAAAATATATATCATAGGACATAAACAGCTGTGCCTTTTCCTTTTTCCATTAAAAAACCAAACCAAACCCAGAACAACAGAAATGAAACAATTAAGCATTAAATTCAGATTCTGAGTTGACAAAAATAATTCTTAGTGAGCCATCTCCTTATGCAAATTAAGCATCTTTCTCTGTTGCAAGTAGTCTGCACTTAGGACAAGATGATGAATTTTAGAAATAAATCAACAGATGTTTTGTGTTTCTATTAATGTTATTTTGGCCATTGTATGTGCTTCTTTTTGTTCATGGGAACCAATGTTCAAACATTAAATATTAAGTATTCAAACTATTTTAGCCTATTAAAACATTGCCTCTTTTGTTGTTTAATATAATTGGAGGCAGATTGAACCATATGTTCTAGATAAAGCAAATGACTAGAGTTCCATATTTTATTACTTCTTCCCTTTCAGGTGTTGCTTTATAGTAGGTTCCTATAACATTAAACTTCAATAACCTTCAATAAACTTCAATAACACTTTCACTGCGTTCTCTTTGGTTTCAATAGATAGGGGTAGCTGTGTCTAGTTAGTTTTTTTTATTTCCTGCAAAGTGCTAAGAGTATACTAGATCAGGAGCATGGAGGGAAATTAATAAGCTGACTAGCCAGGACTAATTGTACTGTTTGGAGTGTGAAGCCAGCAAAATAATGTGAAAGGTTGCTCAGTTCACAACAGTGACCCCATCAAGATGATCTTGGTAAGTGTCCAAGGTTGTCAGGTATTGAAATTTGCCCTGGTACAGTACCAGCCAAACTCTCAGCTTGAGATCAGTATTTGTTTTACTGCAAAGCATGTACTGTATATCTTTTGTTATCTTTTTTTTCCAGGAATGGCTGCTTCTTCCTACAATGTCAGATGCAACCACCATAGAACATTTCCTGACAAAATGGCCTGGGAATATTTATTCAGTTGATAATCTTTTGTAAAGTAGATGTATAGGCAGCCAGTTTATAAAAAACTATTCTTTAGAAAGCTATCAAGCAAATCCTCTTGCAGCAGCTCTCTCACTTCTTCTGTGTTGGAAGTGAGATATTCCTCTATTATTTATAGCAGTAAAGATCTTCCAGGCTTAGAGGTTAAATCAAGGAATGAAAGGACAATTTTACTGATGAAAATGAGTTGCAGAAAGAATATTATAATTGGGGCCTTCAAGTCAGTAGTTCACTCTGGCGATTCATGTTTACTTGAGACTTCTGTTGACTGCATTTGAAACCCATCACTAGATAATTGAACCATAAGTTCTTAATGTATTTTGAAGGCATGCACGTATAAACACACATATGCCATACATATTTATGCACATACACATAAGGAACTAAGCAGGAATGCGTGTCGATCACACTTTAAATAAGTTCATGGATTTGTAATATATTGTCACTTAAGTTTAACCCGATGAATGTATTCAATTTGGACAGATTTGCACTTATTTTTACATCATAATTATGGGCATCAGCCATAATGGCACTAGAGAAGGTTAAGAAAACTATTTCTTTTTTTATATAAAATTTTTTATTAATTTTTTTTCATCAACATATGTTAATTTTTCCAATCAACAAGTTGTTTGGAGTTTGCTATGCTAATACATGTTCAATTCCTAATCCTTCATTCTCTTCTCTAACCAAGAATAAAATAAATTCCAAATTTGATAGTAGTCTGTATATTCTTTATCTTTCAACCTCATAGTTAATCTGTCCATCTCTGCACATTCCAATATTTCTTCCTCTGATGGCAGTCCTTCATTCTTCCAGTATTGTGCAAAAATTATTCTCGCTGCTGTAGTGATGTGTAAAATTAAATATAGTTTCTGCTTATTAGTCTTTTCAGGCATAATGCCTAGTAAAAAAAATTCAGGTTTAAAATCTGTTGTTTTGTTCGCCCAATATTTTTTCTAACCACATATGTATATTTTTCCAATAGGCCTTTGCCTTACCACATGTCCACCAAATGTGGTAATACGTGCCTATGTTATGTTTACATTTCCAACATCTATCTGACATATTTTTAAACATTTTTGCTAATCTTGCTGGTGGAAGGTGCCATCTATAAAATATTTTATACAGATTTTCTTTGTATGAAGTTGACATTGTTAATTTATATTTTCTCTCCCATAACATTTGCCATTTTTCTAATTCTATATTATAACCAAAATTTTTGCCTAGCTTATCATTGTTTCTTTCACTTGTTCACTTTCCATATCTAAAATTAACAAAAAGTTATACATTTTCTTAATTAATTTCTCATCTGAAGTTAACAAAATCTTATCAAACACAGTTTGATCCTTGTAAAATCCATACATTTTTACATCTTTTTCATATCTACTTTGTATCTGTAAATTAACCAGGACAGGTTAATTCCCTGATTTTCCAATTCTTGTTTAGATTTTAATTTCCCATCAATATCTAAAATATCTTTATATGTCCATATTTTTCAAAGTCTACCAGGTTCGGATGTATAAATGCCTCCATCGCTGATAACTACCCTGGAATTTTTGAATATATTTTAGCTTTAATTTTTTCCCATAATGTTAACAAGGCATTTCTTATAAAATGATTTTGAAAGTACTTATGGACTCTGTTTTTCCTGTACCATAAGAAAGCATGCCACCCCAATTGTAAATCATGTCCTTCTAAATACAATAACCTTTTATTTCTGAGTGTTATCCACTCTTTCACCCATGTTAACACAGTGCTTGATAATACAACGTCCATTCCGGCAACCCAAAACCTCCATTTTCCTTA